CAGTAATCCTCCTGTTTTCAGCCTCCCAAGTGCTGGGATTACAGGAGTGTGTCATCATGCCCAGTCTCAGTTGCCGTCTCAGAGGGCTCCGGGGGTGGGGCTGGCATGGCAGGCCCAGGGGTCGAGCATAGTCACTGTGCCTGCCTAAGCAGGTGCTTTAGTCCGCTGAGCTATCTGGTTGGCCCTCTATTTACTTTTTTTAAAAGGACAAAACAGTTAAAGAGAGGACAAGCCCCTATGTAATCATCTTCGATTATATTCCACCAAACCAGAGAACCAATTTCACAAATTAAAATGCTTATCATGTCTGCACATGTTTGGCAACTTTTACCACAATGTATATATCTATTCAATTATATAATCATGTTTTACAGCTTTATAAAATCTATATAAAGTAATATTCTTCATAAAGCTTTTTACAATTTTTTGCCCAGTATTTTGAAGTTTATCTGTAAGTTTAACTGCCTTTATAGTATTGATTGTACAACTTTTTTAGTTTTTCTGTTTACTTGTTAAATATTTAGATATTTCCCTGCTTTTATTATGACAACTAACACTCCAGTGGATATCCACGCTCACGTCTCCTTACGTGAACTGCGCCAGCCCGTCTAGTGTGGGTGTCTAGATGTGGACTTGTTAGAAGGAATGTGTCTATTCTACTTTACTAGATGTTCCCAATAAGCAGTTCTCTGTATATACCTGTTAGAGTGTGGTTTTAAATTCTGGGGTTGACACATTCTGCACTGTACTTGTTTTATTCTTCTCATTCTATCAGTGAATGTGGATGTGTCTTATAGAGTATTTCCTTACATTTCAGTGATTATTTTTGCCTTGTCTTTTAAAGTATGTGCAAATTTAGAATTGTAATATCCTGTAACCTCAAGGGAGATTGGCCCCTTTATCATTAAGAAGTGACTATCTTTAGCTCTACTAAGGTTCTTTAGCCTGACGCCTATTGTATCTGATACTGATATAGTTACAACAGATGTAGCTCAGTGGGAGAGGATAAGCTTAGCGTGCATGACGGTCTGGGTTTAATCCCAGTACCCAAAACAAAAAAGGGTAATATAACTATAATAGTTTTCTACTAGTCATTCATGCACTATACCTTCTTTGTATTCTTGTCTTTCAGATAAATTTCCTATAAATAAGATATATGATTTTTCATCGTATCTAGGAAGTAATCATCTTTATGAACCATTTTATACGACTGAACAAAGATAAAACAAAATGCTGCTAATTAATCTGTAATGCACTGCTTTCTTTTGTTTGTTTTTGGATTTTTGAGGCAAGGCCTCTCTGTGTAGTTCAGCCAGGCCTTGGGCTTTCTGCATATATATTACAGGCTAGCCTTGAACTCACAGCAATCCTCCTGATTCAGTCTCCCCAGTGCCGAGATTAGAAGCATGCCCCATTGTGCCTAGCATGCATTTACAAATCACCTTTGTAATCATGGGGTTGGCTATGCAGTTCAGGCTGGCCTTGAACTCACACTGTCCTCCTACCTCAGCCTCCTGAGTACTGGGATTACTCAGTGTGTGCAACCATGCCTAGCTATCACTTGCAATTTTTACTTTATTCATATGAACAGCTTTCTTCAGCATTTCATTCTAGATTTTGCTTACACATCACACTTTTTCCTGTCTCTGTGCCATTTGAGACTAATGTCTAATTCAGTGCCACATCATAGCATAATCTCTTTATATTACTGTAGAGGGCAATTAAATTTAAGATGGATAGCAGTCAGAAGTGGTTGCTCAATGCTAACTCAAGTAAAATTACGATGATATACCTGGCACTGACCAAATTTACCGTCAGGCAGGGTGACGACTAAATCATGACTGCCATGTGGCTGATAGCAATTTATAGTATCATTTATTCTGTTTTGGAAAAGTCAAAAAGTAGAGAAGTGTGTGTCTGAGAATCAATGACAAGTGATAGGTTTCTTTCTTATACAGCCTGTCAATTTTTTAGAAAATCTAACTGGAACATCTAGTTGATTTATATTTAAAGACATTATTGATAATATTTGGCTTTACGTATCATCTTAACACATGCTTTCTGTTTTTCTCCCCTGCTCTATGTTCTTTCTAAATTTTTGTTTTGTCTTCCTTCAGTGATTAATAATTTATTTACTAGTGGGACATGGTAGCACACATCTGGTAATTCCGGCACTCAGGAGGCTGAGGCAAGAGGATAGCCATGAGTTTAAGACCAGCCTGAACTTCATAGCAAGACCCTGTCTCAAAAAAAAGAGGGCCGGCCTGATAGCTCAGCAGACTAAAGCGCCTGCTTAGGCAGAGCACAGCGGCTGGGGTTTGATCCCCAGCATCCCGTGCTAGCCCCGCCCGTGGTATGTGCCTATAATCCCAGGGTTTTGGAGGCTGAAAACAGGAGGATCACTATGAGTCCGATCTATGTAGTGAGACCCTATAGACCCTATATTCCCTGTACTAAATACATCTTTTAAAAAAAGAAAATTATTTACTATTCCATTTTTCCTTTCTGCTAAGTTTGAGTGGCATGTACTGTGGGGGCAGCCGTCAAGGATATCTACAAATAGGCTGGCTGTCCCTCCTGGGTACACACTTGGTGGCGTTCCTTATACACTCAAAGTAAAGTACATGGCCCCTAAATGTCAGTGAAAGTGATACATGTCTCCTTCAGACAGAGATCCTATGAGCTGCTGTGTTTTTCCATTTTCTCTCTTCCTTCTAGTAATATTAGTCAACTCTCCCATATTCAAAATGGTGACCACTTTATTGGTCTTCGCGTGGGCCTGGCCACAATCCACACACAATAGCCCCAACCACACTCATTCACCGGAAAGGCCACACAATGGGATGGCACAATAAAACTTTGCTGTTTATGCCACTATGGTCTCACGGTCTGGTTGTACAACATAGCCTAGCCCAGTAATGGCGAAACTCTTAGAGCTTTCAGTGACAGCAAGCATCCTGCTGCAGCATGGCATAGTTTCACCACCAGCAGCCTAGCTTGCCTGATTCAAAAATTTGTATTAGAAACTTAGGACTGTCATTTAAAAAACCTCACACCAGGTGTTGCAGGGTAAGGGCTGGATGAAGGGCAGCAAGGTGGGTGTAAACCAAAGCTAACAGGAAATGAAACTTGGCAGGCAGGCTAAATCATCGGGGACGACTGACCTATGATCACTTGAAAGACATGAGCTTAACAATCTCGCAGCTCTAGAATAGGGGTTGGAAAATGATGGTTGAAAGACATGCATTTGGGGCTGGTGAGATGGCTCAGTGGTCTAAAGCACCTACCTAGAACAAGCTTAGCAAAGCACAGGGACAGCGGTTCAATCCCCCAGCACCACATGCCAGCCAGCCCCGCCCCCTGGTGGGCTGAGCTGGCCACACACACACACACACACACACACACATAAATAAATAAAATTTTTAAAAAATTGCTTACTAAAAAAAGAAAGACATGCATTTGACTAGGTAAAAAAGAAAAGAGATAAGCTTAGAAAAGAATCAGTTCTTGTGTAATCAAGAATGGTATAGAATAATCCAGTAATAGAAGACCTTGATGTAACATTTCATCCTCAACTAGCAGAATGGGGCCAGGGAGATGGCTCAGTAGAATAAATGCTTCCCTGGCAAGCACAAAGGCCTGAGTTCAATCCCCAGTTCCACAGACAAACAAACAAACAAACAAAAACTCAACTAGCAGAAGATAAACCTGTGACCTTGTTTATCTGAGTGGCAGAGGGGTATTAGGAGCTTGTACAGAGCTGAGTTAGCGTCTCCTGTCACACCCACTGTTGGAGGATTAGGCCACCGTATTTACAGTAAATCCCTGCAGATGCATGAAAGAGCTCTGCAGAAAGAGACAGAAGGTGTGACGTTCCCACAGAGCCTGATTGCAGCCTCAGGAGCCTACAATTAAATTGAGAAAGCCAGCCATGGCTCAAGCCTGCATGTGGGCGGGGCTCTTGGTACAAAGTGACATTTTGTAAATGCTCTGCATTACTACCAGCTCTGTGCCACTGTTTCTAGAGTTCAAAACCCATACTAAAAAGGTTTGTAACTGTTCAACTCTTGAAATGGTCTTTGAGAGTCAGCTACCTGTACTTCAGTTCGACAACACCCTTTCCCTTTTCATCATCCTCCTTGGTCAGATTTGTAGAGCACAGTAGCAAATAAGCTTCCCATGGGGCCTGAGTCACCTTCTTTTACTGTGCTATTTTCCAGGATCCTGGAAGTGGCACTACAGAAAATTAGAATCCTGGGTTTATCCCACATTTCATTCTACAAATACAAAACTGAGGTCCATATAGACGGCCTGCGGGGCTGGAGTTCAGCAGCCATGATTCCTAACCCAGCGTGCTGTGGCTTGGATTAAGTCTCATTGGCACTGGGGCCTGGATGAGTCTCTGTCACTCCACACTGCCTCCTACAGCTGTCTCTATGAGGGTCTGGCCACGGTGGGCTCAGCTATCATTCATTCAGAGCAACATCAGTAATGTGCCTGTAATTTTGCATGTTTTGAGGTGAAACTTACGGGATTACTTTGATGTCTTCTTTGCCGTGCAGGATGTAGTCAATGACTTTGTAAAAGTTAATTTCCTAGTAAAAGACATAGAAAAATTATACAGGGTGAGAGACTTCAATGTGTCCACAAAGCAGACCTTAGAAAAAAGAAAAGAGCAATGAAATGTGTTATATGCTGATGGCACAGAAGTATCAGATTTCCAGGTCTTCCTCTTTACTGCCATCTGGCCCACTCTCAGCACCGAGCTTGCCCATAACTGTCTCCCTAGCCTGAGGCCTCCCGGTGCTCATTGTTTTCAGCTTGCCCTCACAGTTCAGTGCACCTAGTGGCCAGGCAAGGGGCTGGGATGTGGGGCTAAGAGATGAAAACTTAACCAATAGGACCTGAAAGCAAAGTGCAAGGAGAAAGAGATAAAGACTTCTACTAGAAGCTGGACATAGTGCAGTACATCTGTAACCCCAGCACTTTAGGAGACTGAGGCAGGAAGATCACAAGTTCAAGTCCATTCTAGAACTAACTTAGTGATTTAGTGAGACCCTATTTCAAAGTAAAAAAGCAAAGCAAAGCAAAGCTAGGGAAGTAGCTGAGTGTAAAGGCTCTAGGTTCAATCCGTAGTGCTGGGGATTAGAAACAGGATGGGAGAAGGGGAAAGGAAGTGGAGAGAGAGGAGGAGGGGGAGAGGAGAGGAAAGAGGGAAGGGGAGAGAACTGCTGCTAAGCAGGAAAGGTAAAAGGTTTTCATGCGTTTAGAATCAGCCAGCCAAACCCCACCACACCACACTTCTTCCTCCCTTCACACCTACTACCCAGCTTCTCTCTATTGTGTCACTGCTTCTAGATGTTCCCAACTGTGCCTCATGCCTCCAAAACAACTCATCTCCTCCTCCTCCTCCTTCTAGCACTATTAAGGTCCCATCCTCTTAAAATAAGTCTATTCAGTTACAATACTCTCTGGCGTGTGCTTAGAGACGGGTGGGTGGCTCTGTTCCCCTAGTTCTGAAGGGAAAATTCCATTACCTTATCAAGTCCTCCACATGCTCAAGCGTGAGGGGCAGATCAGCAACTATTTTATAAATGAGAAAATAGAGATGCAGAGAGAAGAAGTGAGCCACTGAGAGTGAGGCAGTGGATGACAGGGAGATTGTGAGCCAAGGCCAGGCCCAGGCCCTCGTCTCCCACCTCAGTGCTCTTTCTGCCATGTCCCTTAATAAGGTTATGAGTGGAAAAAAGCATCATCCTGTCCATATCACCAGCACCTGGTGCTCAGCGACTCCAAGCCTGGTCCTGCCCTGGTGCCAGCCTGCAAAGTAACTGCCATCATTTCATAGTGGGGTAAAAACATGAACTGAGGGTCACCACTAGAAACTTTTGTAACGATTTGAGTTATATTAGGTCTGTTGCATCTAACTTAAAAGAAAAGGGGAATTTACATTTTGTTTGTATTTATAAAGTTTTAGTTTTCAATAATATGTTAGGGCTGGCCAGATAGCTCAGCAGATTAAAGCGCCTGCTTAGGCAGAGCACAGGGGCTGGGGTTCGATCCCCAGCACCACAAGCCATGCCGGTTCCCGTAACTGGGGCATGCTGAGACTGAGACTGGGTGTGATGGCATGTGTCTGTAATCCCAGTGCTTGAGAGGCTGAAAACAGGAGATTCACTGAGTCCGATCTGTGTTGTGAGACCCTGTAGACCCTGTACTAAATATATCATCATAATGTTTTTATCATATTTCAAAAAGTATCAGTCCATATTGGATGGGCAATTTAAACAAACCAACTATTCTTTTAGTACAGGTACTTTGAGAAGTATTGCCCTACATAAATGCAGGTACCTGACTTAATCTCCACAGAGAAGAATTCTTGATCTAGTCAAGGGCATCTAAATGCTCATTTGGTTGAGAGGAGATCAGTGACAGTGACATTTGTCAGCCTCTTGAGGGACAGACCTGGCTCCTCAAAGCCCCGCCTTGGTGACAGTGCAAGACTGAACATTCCCAAAAGGCAAACTCTAGCTGAACACAAGCAGAAGCTAGGAACCGCTCCCATGGGGTGGGCTGCCCCGGGGTGGTGAGCTCCCGAGCACGGGAGGCATCCAGGCAGGAGAATCCGGGCTTAGCTCCACTCCCACAGCATGGTGGAGCTAAGACTCAACCTAGCAGGGAAGACACAGGCTCTTGTCTCGTTCTTACAAGGTGTGCTCTGCACGCTGCAGTTCCCAGCTGTAAAATTAGAGGGTGGCGTGTGCTTATTGGCCTCCTGCTGCGGCTGCTAAGCAGCAGGACTCATTCTCGCTCCTCAAAGCATTGAACCTAATCATGTAAAGCTGCTTTTTCCGGAAGCCAAGTTAGATACACAGTCTCTCATTAGAGACTGTGCAGCTCGCCTTGTTTTCTCCCACTTAGTCTCCTAACTTCCTCTTTCCTCCCTAACCTGGAGATAAGGCAGCCACTCCCATCTCTAGGGCTCTACAGACAACCGGGCAAGAATGAAAATGTGGCTAGACTGTTTCTAAAGTCCCTCCCAGCTCTGACTCTAAGATTGTAATTGGATAATTACTAATATCTCTCAAAGATTAATATTGTTTAATATAGTAATTCCACATATGATAATGGGTCCTATAGATATACTCCCAAATAGGAATACAAGTTTTTTTTTTTTGTTCCATCCAAGATCTCAGCCTCACTGCCTTAAAAAGCCTGGCAACAACTCCATAGTTACTGTGAGGAAAGTGGTTAAACAAATTGTGTACAGATGTTCCTCAACTTACAATGGTAGTGCCTCTCCAAATCACCAACCCTCTGTAAGTTGAAAATATTATAAATTGAAAATGCGGTTAATGTGATCAGCCTCCTGAGCCTCCTTGCCTAGCAACATGGGGTGCTGCAGGCTGCCAGCTGTTTACCCGCGTGATCATGAGGCTGACTGAGAACTTGGGTTCGCTCTTGTTGCCCAGCATCGTAAGAGCGAGCAGAGCAACGCATATTGCTAGCCTGGGAAAGGATCCAAATTCAAAGTACGGTTCCTACCAAATGCAGACTGCTTTCCACTATCGCCCAGTCAAAATATTGTCAAAGTATCAAGTCAGAGAAGGCCTGTGTCTTCACAGAGGAAGGCTTTGTATTTTTACACCATGTCTGTGGTAACAGTAAAAGACACCAAGACAGACAGTTAACTGGGAAAAGCAAGGCACAGGAGAAAACGACCGCATTTGATAAGGGTAGAGATGGTGGAGTATGTGTATTTCTGAATATCTGGATACTTGTTAACATTCCTGGAAAGATGCACTGAAAAGAGTAGCTGCCTTGGGAGGGTGACCAGGAAGAAAAGGGACTTCATGTGATGTCAGCTTTTCACTGTGCTCATGTATTTTTCAATAAATAGTAATTCTTTTGTAGAAACTTTTTTGTTTTTTCAGTGCTGGGCATCAGACCCAGGGCCTCCTGCTTGGTAAGTGGGGGCTCCAACACGGAGCTACTTCCAGCCCCAAACACTTTAACATAGTGAAGTTGTGTCTGGTACACGGCTCCAGAAAGCAAAGGGGATGTTATGATCTCCTGGGACTTGAGTGAAGCTGTTTCACCTGCGAGGGGAGGACGCGGAGTTCTAGGGCCTTCTTAACGACCTGGGCTGCCTGAGGGCCATCTGTCCTTGGCCTAGCTGCTCTCTGTATGGCCACGCCCGAGGCTCCTGTGCCTGGAAGGCTGCCCTAGCAAGTGGTTGCTATGAGACTCAAGAAAGCTTAGACGTGAACATTAAATTAAAAAAAAAAAAAAAAAAAAAAAACCAACCCACAGGAAAATCAATTTGCTTTCAGAAAAGGCAACAAAGAAATCAGTGTGATTTAGGTAAACAGAGCTCTACACACTGCAGCTTAGTCAAGTTGCCCTGAAGGCCATATTCATGTGTAAGTTCACCAGATTCTGGAAAGTCAAAACCACCATCAAGAGCACCCTTGTTACCCACCACCGAGCAGCCAGTGCTGCAACACACAAGTCTTTGCAAAAAAGACTCCGACATAGCTGTAGCCAAGTCACGGTGCTTAGAAACACAGAAGTGTTCAAACATGGGCTATGTTTTGTTTTTTTCCATGGAGCCTAACCGGCCTGTACAACTTTTTAATAATTAACACATACACAAGCACTATTTTATTTATCTTTTATCTTATTTATCCTTCTTGTTTTGGATTGTCTGAGGGAGGGGCGTTTTGCTCTGTTGCCCAGGCATTGTGAACTCTGAGGCTCAAAACGATCCTCTCCCCTCATTCCGCTGAGTAGCTGGGGCTACAGCGTGGGCAGTCCCACTCTGTACCACTTTATTTTAAAAAGAAGATGAAGTGAGATGTAGATACTATCAGGGAATTTTAAACTTTAGATCTAAGATTTGGGGAGGGTGATTGGTCAGAAGCAAACAAAAGCTATATTTCTTTTCTTTCTTTCTTTCTTTCTTTCTTTCTTTCTTTCTTTCTTTCTTTCTTTCTTTCTTTCTTTTTTTCTTTCAGAACCAGGGATTGAACTCAGGCCCTTGAGCTTACCAGAGAAGCGCTTATTCTACTAAGTCATCTCCCCGGCTCCCTAAAAGCTATATTTCTAATGTGAGGCAGATAAAATGTGAGTCATGTTAGCAGGCCAGAGGCAACCTGAAAAGCCGTGACAGTTAGCAGAAAGCATCCTGGGGTAGAACTTATCCAAATGATTTGACTCCCCCAGTCTTAATTTCCTCTTCAGATTAATGGGGAAAGTAAGACACTTCCTTCATAAACTTGTTCAGACGAGCAAAGGCTGTAGGGGACCTCTGTAAAGCATCCACCAAATAGTGAGGTCAACCCACCTAGCTATAAATACACACTGGAGTGCGTCTGTTGCCAGTGTGGGACCACCTTAGTCACCAGAGCCCTGCTAGGTAAGCCTGAGAAGCCTGCTTGATGGGGGAGGAAGGCAAGGCTTCTCGAGATACACCAAGGCCACAGCATAGATAGCAGAGCAGCGGTCTAACTTCAGTCTTGTTCCCACTATGCCCGTGCTCTTTCCCGAAGCTCCTCTTCCGACTAATTATGTCTTTGTTTTTATTTAGCTTCTT